CACCCCCACATTTTGCCACTTCCAATACTTGTACAAGTTGAACAGAATCAAAGAAACGGAGCTGGCTGAAAAATATGGGAGAGGGGAGGTACTACAAAAGGCTATTTTCCAGGAGGATCAATTTCGCAGTTCACCTTCCAGCTGCACAAACAACCGTGCCAGCTGACTGCAGCAAAGGGTCAGGGATTGTGGGGGGGAGCAGGAGGTGGGCAGAGGCTGCCATCAGGGAAGCGCCGGTACCTTTTGCGGACCCCCCAGCAGCAGTCCACTTAATTTGATGGGACAATATTTGGATGATTTTCTACCTTTGATAGATAACATGCCCGGTAATTACTTAGCAGGAGAACAGCACTCAGTTCACTTTTTCCCAAGCTGCATGGATTCCGGGAGGGGATGGGGCAGCAAAACTCTATTTCTGCTAGAAGGACAAACATTTTGAGCACAAATTGATGGCAGATTCATCCATTTTAAAAGGGCTGTTTGTACAGTCATTCTTTAGAAAGGACCTTACTTCAAAAAGGACACAAATATAAATACTTTACTACTGGTAAAAATAGAGCCATGTAATATTTATATCATTCATTGAATGTCACTGACATTTCTTTCCTCAACCACCCGCTAGTCCAGCTCCGCCCCTGCAAAAAAGCTGTAAGTAACACCTGCACACAAAGCCTAAGTAATCCTGGAGCTACAGTACGCGTGACTTCTAAGTCATCAACTTCATTCTGTTAACCATCTTTTTGTTGTTGTTGTTGTTGTGTTGATCTATGTATTTACTTCTCCCAGGCTGAAGCAAAGAGCCATTTCATTCTAGCAATTCTCCAGACACTTGTATAAATTCAAAAAGCAGCAGTGAATTATTAATTAGAACAGCACGTATATGCTCCATACGATGTTTATATCTTTAGCCTGATAATACTGAAAACCCCTCAGAACTGTAACTTCCAGTGAGTATAAAAAAATTGTATTATCCCAAACAATCATCATTTCTTATTTAGCTTAGAAAGGACCATTAGTTCACCGATGTAACAGGACCTTATTAGCTTATCTTGGGACAGTGGTCTACCTGTTTCAGAACTGACCATTTTAATAACTTTAGAGTTTGCACTATCCAAACATATTACAACCAAAATAGAAAACATAATGTACGGTGAAATACCTGACAGAATGAATGATGAGGCACTCTCTGCAGTCCTAAGAAAGAGCAGTGCTAGTAGTATAAAGAAGTTACAGCCAGTCTGTGATTGAAAAGCGATGCATTATGAGATACAATCTAAGACACCAATTTTCTTTCAGCAAATGGATTTATTGACATAATTGATTATAACCATGTACAGCATCTATGCATCTCCCATTGGAAGAATATCCAGTGATAGAGCTAACGTTAGTGTGATACACAGCTTTACTCAATAATCCCCACTGCATTTCTAACAACAAACAGTGGTGTATTCCACAGTCAGTCATAAATGGCCAAAAGCACCCAAGGGTCCAAAAGAACAGAAATTTAAGATTCTTAACAAAAAATAAAACCTGATCCTGGATTCCTTCAGTTTCAATTCCATTAAACATTGTATCTCTAAGAGTTATGAATTTTAATCTACACACTGACAATTGAGTTTGGCCCCTGATATTGATGAAAACTGCTGCCTGTCAAAATGAAATCCCAAAGGACTTTTTGCTACTGACTGAAGAATCAAGACTTAACTCTGATTTTTTTCCTCCATTTAAAAGGCAAAGATTAAGGCAAATGAACCCTACGCTCTCTCCTTTCCTCCCATTTGAATTTAAAGATTGAACAAAAATCCCTCAGAACAGAGAGTCTTGTTCTCTCCATTCAGTCACTGAACTCCAATTGAAGGTACCAGTTACTATGGTGTCTTTTGTAAACACTTGTTCATCTGAAAAAAAGAAAAAAAAAAAGAAAAGAAAAAAGAAAAAAAGGAAAAAGCCCAAATCGCCTACTTGCAATTATGGTAATAAAACAACTTGTAGTCACGAACACCTCAGGTCAGCAATGAATGCATGATATTGAGATGGATATCTCCACAGTCCACTAACACTTCCTTCAAACCATTCAGTTCCACAAGAGTTCATCTGAGGTTGCACATTAAATTCAGAGGAGCAGAAGTAGTATCAGCGGTCTCAACAATTTACCAAACTCCATCTAAAACATTTGCATTTAAAGTGTAACCACAGTTTGGACCTTTTTAATTAGCTCATTTCTAGACCACACAGAGAGAATTAATAATGTAAACTAAACCACCGTATTTCATAGTAACAGAACTGCATTCTGTAAATATTTAGGGAAGTAAAAGTCCAAGAAAGTAGAGAGCAACCGATCATAAAATGATTAGCATTGCTCTAAAAACAAAAGTAAAATTCTAATTAAAATAAAACCAACTCAAACATCATATACTACTGCATAAGGGTTTAACTTCAGCATTACTCACTCAGCTACACAAAACACGGAATCTAGATTAATATACAAAAATGTTTTATTTCACAGTGAGGTACACAAAGCTTCTAACTTTAGTAGGCTAAGGCTAAGAGAGAGTTGCCTGTTAGGATAAAGACTGTTTCACATTCCTGAAATATTCTCACCTATTATTGTTTCTGAAGAAAGGCACCAATATTATTTATCCATCAACGGTTCACCTCTGCATCCACCCATTTAGAAATGAAGATGGATAATGTGAAGCTCAGTGATCTACTGACCATCACGGACCCAGAGAACTATAGCACACATTCATGTGTACAAGTACCAAGCAGTATTTATTCAAAAACAATTTAAAAATAGCTCATTTGTAAACATATTATAAAACTCTGTTAGTTTTTCCTAGTGGTGTCAGCAATATATTCCTGTAAAACTCACCAGCTGCATTATTGTTTCCCGATTACAAAAAAAGTATGAAAACACACTCGCGCACATTAAATCGCCTCACATTCGGTTTGAGTTAAAATGGCACAGCCTTCAAACTGTCCAGCGCAAAACACGCATTTCCAGCCCTCCAGACGCCTCGCTGGTTGCACACAGTTCAACAGCCACATTAGAAGACGACCCTCAGTCCAAATTGCGGATTAGGAAGGGCGGGCGTCTCGGAAAGGCCTGCTCGAAGAGTCCTCGCACGGGGCCAGGCCGCTCACTCTAACTGTTGTTCCCAACTGCAGTCCGAGAAAACCACCCGTAAAAGAGCACACCTAAATTTACGGCTCTGAGCTCGCGTAAGGGAGGCACCGGCTGCTGTTC